GTGTGACCCTAGGCAAATCACTTAACTCTGTTTGCCTCAGTTTTCTCATCTGTAAAATGAGCTGGGAAGGAAATGGCAAACCACTCCAATGTCTCTGCCAAGAACACCCCAAATGGAGTCAAGTAGAATCAGAGATGACTAAAACAATTGAACAACAAAAATTAACCCTCCCACTCTGAATAACAATTGTCATGAACAATAGACATTATAATCGATTCCAAAAATACATAAAGGAAACTTTGGCAGAATTTAAGTCTTTAAGAGGATATACATGATCAAAGACTCAAGATTTTACTACAATAAGTATCCTAATTCCTCCATGAGGGAAGGAATGGCCAAAGTTTGGTACCTTGTGTGAGCAGTACCATTAACAGAACAAAAGCACTCCACCAAAACCAATTTGTCTGTTGTTTGTTTGTTTGTTTGTTTTTTTACACCCAACCTCTATGCCATGGATCCCAATAATACTTCTAAGTCACATTTTTAGTACTAGTCTTCAGCCACCAGCCAGCATGCAGGGAAGGCTACCTAAAAGCCAGCAAATTATAGTCCAGTTGTCCCAAAGCCCTCCTGAGAGTCATGAGTAAATGCAATTCATATTGGGCCAGGCCTGCAATTGACCTTGTCACTTTGTTCTAAAACCTTATTACAGAAAAAAGGATCAATTTAATTGAACAAACATTTACCAGTCAACTCTCTTGTACCAAGTACTGTGCTAGATAAGGTGGATAGATTAAAAAAATAAACTCTCTGCCCTTAAGAAACTTACCTTCTACTGTATGGATACAGCAGATACAAAGAAAATTAAGTACAAAAGAATGAAAGTATTACAATATGATGACTAGAGTGCTGATCTTGGAATTACGAAGACCCAAGTTTGAATCCTGCCTCAGACATTTCCTAGCTTTGTAATCCTGTTCAAGTCATGAAATTTCTCTTGGCCTTTGTTTCTTCCTCTGTAAAATGTGGAAGTGAGATCTGATGAACTCCAGACTAGGCAGCCTTCAAGTTGGCTATCTGGGATCCCTACGACCTTTAAGATCTCACTCAACTTTCAATCTAAGATTCCAGAATACAAAAAAATCTCAAAAGGCTGATAGCACTAGCCACTGGGGAAATCGGGTAAGGCCTCACATTAAATGTGGCAGCTGAATTGTCTTTGAAAATGTTAAGAGTTCTATGAGTCAGAGGAGGAGAGAGGAAGTGCATTCAAAGTATTGGGACAGTTGGTAAAAAAAAAAAAAAGACATGGAATGCCATGTATAGAAACAGTGAAATGGACTGGAGTGGAAATTATGTGAAGAGGGCTAATATAAAGTAAGACCAAAAAGAATTAGGCAGGGGAGGTAGACTACAGAGGGCTTTCTATGCTAGGCTTCAAGGCATTTGGATTTTATCCTGGAAGCAATAGGGAGCCATTGACCTTGGCAGCTCCATGCCAGGGCTCAGTAGTCTACAGGGCTTCCTGGGTGGCCAATTCAATCTATGTTCTAGACTAAACCATTTCATTTGGACCCCAAAAAAACAGAATGTTACCATCTGCGAAAGAAAACCATTTGGACAAGGACTTTCCATGTCACAAACACCTAAAGGCCCACTATAAACAAGAAGGAACAAGAAAGGATTCTGGGAAATTAAAAACATTTGTCCTAAAAAATAAAACCTTTTGGGAGCCTGGAGCTGATTCCACAGCAGCAGGACAGCTGTAGGTGTCCAGAGACAGGGGAAGGAAAGAGAGAAATGTGAACAAAGCACCCAGGATAAAAGCAAAGGGCCACCCCCAGAACAGAGCTTCAGTTGGACAGCAGCTCTCAGTCCTGGGATCTTACAGTCCTGGGATCCTACAATCCCATCCAATCAAAAACAGTAACCACTTATCACCCAAGAACAGCCATTGTCTTAGAGATGCAAACAAGAATGTACAGTCATTGAGAAGCCACATCTATATTAAAAATAATTATTTTTAAATCATAACCACCCACAGGACATTTCATAAAACATATGGCAAGGGTCAAACCATGCTCATACTAATCCTGAATCACTAATACTACTAAGAGTGGAGAGATGAAGAATACATGTTGACAAGTAATTTCATCTTCTTTTCTATTGTGTTTTAGAATACCTAACAGATCTTTCTGTGGATACTCTCTACCCCAATCCATCCTTCACATTAATGATGGAATAATCTTCCCTGTAGTAATCTCACTCATCTAACTCAAAACACTTTAATGACTTCCTATGGCCTTGAGTAAAATTTGAAATCTTCTGGATGGCTTTCTAGGCCCTCCAAAATATGGAACCAGCTCACCTTTTGAGCCTTATCTCATATTGCTTTTCCATGAATTCTGCTCCAGGCAAAATGGTCTCATCAGTGTCCCACCTCCATGTGCTTATTTACACTTTTCTTGTAACTGAAATGCTCTACTTCCTCTCCTGTCTCTTCCCTCTGAATTCCTACCCATTCTTTCAAGAATACTCAGATACCACCCAGCTATTGACATATCATCTTCCTCTCTTTAAAGTGTGTGCTCTCCTTGTGGAAGTGAATGTTGAAAACTAAAAAAATAAATAAATTATAAAAAATTAAAAAAATAATAAAATGTATGCTCTGTAAGGGCAAGGGCTATTTATTTTTTGCCTTTGGCATAATGTCTAGAAGACAGATGCTTGTTGACTGACTAACTGAGCTTTTCCAAGAGGTCTCTTTCAGCTTGTCTGATCCACAAGGCCTTTTCACCACAGAACTCAAAAAGCATCTAGTATTGTATCGTTCCGATGTCCTTATCTTGGGATGTTATGTGTTACTGGGATGTTGTGGGGCTCAGTCAAATGAAACACTGTGTGAAAAGCACTTTATATCCCTTAAAATGCTAAATAAACCTAAGTTGCTCTCATTATAGTCATCATCTTGTTCTCATTTTTTTCCCAACAGGGCTCAGACACCAAATGTATTTTAAACTGTTATGCTGTTGCTATTCTTTTATACATAATGCTTGAAAGACTATTACACAAGTGAATAAAATAACTGTTTTTTTCTAGTTTCATTGAAACATTAGGATGTAACCATCTGTAGGATCACTATGCTATATTAATCTTGTTATTATTGTTATTATGTTTATCTGTGCTTGCGTTTGATTTCCCCTAATAGATTATAAGTGGCAGAAGTGTGGGCATTACAACTAATCTAAACTTGAGCATTTAATAAATGGATTTGAAAGAAGATACTGAAAAAAACTTTTCTCTTAGTCCATCATTTCAATATGTCCTCCACTTCTATGGAAACTTCACCCAAGCTGCTATAAAATATCAGGAGTCAGAGATTTCTCTTTGCTTCCTACTCCCTTCCCTTTACAGGATGTGTTTGTGAATACAATATCTGAAAAGCATCAGATCAAGGAGTCTCAATCCCACAGTTACAATATCTTGACAAAATACATTTTACTTTATTTTAATTTTTAACGTTTCTTCATATTTTTTGGATGCCAGATTTATTTGTCCTAAAATAAGAGCACAGAAATCAAGAATCAAATGATTATAGAAACTGCAAGTATATACATTGATAAGATCATATGTTTAGAGCTGGAAGAGCCCTTGACAAAGAGATCAATACATGAACCTATTTTGACAGAGAAAATCAGAGGGCGGTCATCACTATACAGACAAAGGAAGAACACAAAGAATGGGTTAACAGGCATGGAAGTGGGAAGAAGGTAACCAAAGTTCCTAAAAAGCAAAAGTGTGTTTTATATGGGATGCCTTATTTATTGATAGAGACATAACATGTTTCAGTGAGGTTCATGACCAGTAGGGTGGGCAATTGGTGGTAATGTTTTTGTCTGTTTGTTTGTTTTCCCATAGCAATGATAAAATTAAACAAAACTACAAAATGGCAGTCAGACTTGTTCCCTTCCATTCCTACAGTAATGATGACAGAATGGCGAGAAACAGGGCAGAAAAGAATTATACAGTTTTCACATACATCTGGGATAAACTTTTAGACAAAATTTAATTTGTTGATTAGTACCTTAAAATATAAGATTCCTACCCAATGACAAACAAGTGGGCATTTTGCCAGAAAGGTTGAAGCATACCAGTCTTGACAACCTTATTATAAATGAAGCCAGAAGTAGGAATTTTCAGCTAAATGAAGGATAGCTTACAGCTACTCCTTGGGAAAGCCAAAAAAAAAAAAAAAAGAGGACTGGTGGAATGGAGTTCTACCATATAACCAAAGGCGACAAGGAGTGAAATAATTGTTCATCAAGTATTTCAGTACCAATGATATGTATTGACAAAAAGATGACCATGGAAATAATGGCTACTGATTCACTGACATCCATTTCTGAGGATGAAGAGGTAGAGAAATTATACAAAGAAGAGCCTCCATATTAAATCAACTTGCACTCTGATTTTTTGTGACTGTAATGCAAAGATGTAAAAAGATGAGGAAAGAGAGAAAATGTGGAAAATCATGGTTCAGGAAAAAAGAAAAGAAGCCCATGACTTATAAGAGTCCTGTGACTTTATATCATGACCACTCTTTAGGGAAAAGAATTGGTAGGTATTGGGGATGGCAAGTTCCCACACCCCAAACATATGCACACATATACCCAAAGACACGAAACAAAATTGATTATATTTTAACTGACAGAAAAAGGCTTGTTACTGATGTGGGAGTTGTCTACGAATAAGTTATCTGAGAGTAGTTAGGGATGAGTTTAGATTTAGCAAAAAGCAACAAGAACCAGAATCCAGCAATATGTTATTACAAGAATAATCACATTGGCAGCTCAGCAATTGTGTGTGTGTGTGTGTGTGTGTGTGTGTGTAAGATTATACACATTTTTTTAACATCAAACTGAACAAATTAGGAAAACCAGGAATTATACCTTATTATTTGACCCTAGAATTATCTTATATTTAAATTCTCCAAAATGGTACCTTCTATGCCCTGATTTTTATTTACAAATACCTAAATAAAGCAACCATCTTGTCCTCACCTCCCACATCAACCTGTAGTCCATATTTTCATCCAAATCCTGAAGCATTTTCTTCTCTCCAGCAAATGGGCCAAACTTTTCACCCTAAACAGGAATGACATTGAAAAGGCATTAGTACAATCATTGCATCAATGGTGTTGATGATGAACAACTCTGCTGCAGAAAAAAAAGAAAAAGGTGTGACAGCATTTCCTTTCCACAATTTCATGGAGATTGGAATCTCTGGGGAAATGTTAGAGAAATATAATGTCAAAGACTCAAGCTCTTGCCTTCCTAAATGGTCCAAAATTGAATTGATCTGTTGTTTAAAGACTAATCACTGGACAGGATCCCATAGAAAAGACTAAATCATTTTGAATTCTGGGATGAGGAAGGCATTGAAAAAAAATTGCCATGTTCATAACTCCCAGGCAAGGGGTCTCAGAATCAAAAGCACTGAGATTTTTGAAAATAACTTCATTGATGAATTTTGTCTTTACATTGCCTAAATTTCTCCCTGTATCATCACTATTCCACATCCTAGAAAGGCATCAAAGACCAGCCTTGACTAGTTTGAAAGACAAGGTCACTATGCTAAACTTCACTAGGTTTCCATTAAAATAATAAATCCATCCATACCATTGATTAAAAAAAAGAAAAGGGACATGCTATCCTCAGATGAGTATATATGCTTTGGTTAAAAACCAAAGTGGAAAAAAAATGTACAGAATCCCTGGCTGGCACCTCAAACAGCCAGTCATAGGGGCAGCCTTTGTACTTGATTCATGCTAAGGGTGAGGTGCCTTGTAGCTGAGCAACAGTCAGCCAGCTCCAGAAACAACACTAGAAAGGCACAGGGTGGACCTAGGTCTGCCCTCTCTGCAGCAGCCAGCATTTAGAGACACAAACCAAGCATTCTTCTGCCAGATCTGCAAGGAGACTGTAGGAAGGTGCTTCTTTACTCATGAAAGGAAAGCCTTTAGTACTGACTGACCTTGAGAAAAATGCCACCAACAGCAGCATCTCCAAAGGGATCGGGAAGGGAATGACTGTGATATAGAGGAACAGCAACAAACATGGTGGGGATTATGTATAATCCAAACTCAATTCAACAATAATTTATCAAGTGCATCCTGGGTGTAAGGCACTATGCTAGGGAATAACACTACAAAGGTATGAAAGGAAGCAGTCCTTACCCTCAAGAAGAAGGCATTCTGTAAAAGAAATCTTAGGTAAGTATTAGTCACTATACACATGAAAGTGACTCCCCTGCTGGAACTCACTGAATTCTAAAGCTAGAAGCTACTTCCAGGAGACCCTCTAGTCTCAACCCCCCATTTTGTGGAGTAGGAACCTGAGGCCCAGACAGAACAAAAGCCCTCACCAGAGTCATGCTTCTAACTAGTTACAGGGCTGGAAGGCCTCCTCTTCTTCAAATTAAATTCCATTATAAACACATGTCTTTAGTAACTGTCATTTGAAAGGCCTCATGCTCAGGAAGTACAAAGATGGGGGTGAGGGGAAATCCCCTGCCTTCCAGGAGATTACGCTCCACTGGAAATTACACAACAGATACAAAAATAAGTAAAAGCCAAGAAAGTGGAGAATGTGATAAGAGCAAAAGAAAGAACCTAACAAAAGTATTTGAGAAAAATCTGAGGAAGGAAAGAAGACCTTTTGGCTGGAGAGACCAGAAGAGGTACCATGGAGCAAGTAGCACCATTTACTATCTGTGTGACCCTGGGCAAGTCATTTAATTTCTGTTTGCCTCATTTTCTCAACTATAAATTTGAAGAGAAAGATGAGTTCTGTTTTTGAAATGGAGAGTTTGAAAAGCTAAGAAGATATTCAAGTGTAGATATCCAGCAAGCCCATGGTGATGTGGACGTAGAGTTCAAGAGGGAGATTAGGGCTAGACAGCCACATCTGGAAGTTGAGTGCATGGAGATGAAATTACACTTATGTGAACTAATGGGTCAAGGGATAGTATAGAATGAGAAAGGAGTGCACATGACAGATTTGGGGGTTCACACACTGCTAATGGAAGCAAGGAGGACAAAGAGGAAGAGTCAGCAAAAATAGCTAAGAGAAAGAGTAGTTGGGCAGGTGGCCAGGGGAGGGAGACCTATTCAAGAGTAAGACTGAGGAAGCCAAGGGAAGAGAAAGTATCCAGAGAGAGGGGGTGACCCTTAGTAGCAAAGGCTGCAGAGAAGTCAAGAACAGGGGCTTCATCTTTCATTTCTTTTGTTACTTGTATCCCATGCTCCCCACCCCCAAAGAATGGGGACCTTAGAATCATCATCATCATCATCATCATCATCACCATCATTACATCAACAGCAGCAGCACCATCGGCATCATCACAGCCAGCATTTAGACAGCAGCACCTCATGGTTTGTGAAGCACGTGACATGTATTATTTGATCCTCACAACAACCCTGTGAGGCAGGGGCTGTCATCCTCATTTTACAGAGTAGAAAAATGAGACCGAGAGTTTAAGTTGCCATGGAAGCCATTGAGTTCAACCTCCTCATCTTTTCGATGATGGAACTGAAGACCAGAGACTTTGAGTGACTTGGCCAGAGTCATGGGGTGTTAAGTGTCTAAGGCAGGATTCAAACCAAAGTCTTCCTGATTCCAAGTCCAATGACACCACTGTCCAGCACACTGCACTGTCTCCCTATCAGGTTATAACACAAACTCATGAAATACACAAATGGATTTCATCTTAAATCTATAAGCAACAAGGGCTGAAGTTGTGAAGCATCTAATCTCATAATAATGATAACATTTCTAGAGTGCTTTAAGATTTGCAAAGTCTTTCACATAGGTTGACCACTCTCACAGGTGCTACTATTATCATCCTTACATAGATAAGAAAAGGTATACAGTTGTCCTAAGGGATACAGTTAAGTGTCTGGGGCAGGATGTGAACTCAGGTCTTTCTGATTCCATGTCCAACCCTCTATCTATAGACTGTATTACTTATCTGTCTGAAATGCATGCCCTCTTCATCTCTACCTACAAAAGTCCTCTTCCTCCCAAACCTTGATGAAGTGATAGCTTCCCAGAAGCACCTCCTGATTCCCCCCAAGCTGAGTGTTCTCTCCACCCTCAACTGTCTCTTTCTCTCTGGCCCCAGGGTTGCTCTACTAAAGTGCCATACAACTGATAATTATTTTTTTATTTTTACTACTACTACTACTATAAAATTTATTTTTGAACATGTGCCTCTCTCCCCTCTCAGTAGAATGTAATCTCAGTAAAGTCATGGACCGCAGTATTTTTTTATCCCCAGAAAGTGTACAATCTTGTTCATAGCAGAGGCTTAATAAATATTTGTTTATAAGACGATGTAATACTGTATCTGGTTTGGGGTTTGTCAGGGTTTCTTTTTGGTCTTTTTTATGACTATGGATAAATTTGGGTAATGGTGGTTGTTTTATAGACTGTGTACTCACGGGCAGGAGAGATACAGTTAGTATTCACAGGAAACTTCATCGTCAAAGGCTTCATTCTTCAGGATTTTTAAGGCTATAAAATATTGGTTTGGGGAAGAGGGATCAGAGAACCTAGGCTTGTTTTCACCTGCTATAAATAAGCTTTCTAGGCAGTTTTTTTTTTAATTCCAATGCTTCCATTTCTCCTTCCCCTATCCTTTAAACACTGGCTCATTGATGGGTTCTGTTTGTTTTTTCCCCAAAGCATTGGTACAAACAGAAACTGACTTTTCAAAAATATATTTTATTTTATTTTGCACAGGCATGTTGAAATGTATATATGGGGTTTATTTTCTTGTCCTTCAGTGAAATGAAGGACACTATTCCTCATTTCACTGTGAACTCTAGTCAATCCATCCCTCCTTGTTTTCCCAGTCAATGCCCCATCTGCAGCCTCACCTTCTCTCCTAATCTAGACTACATAGTTGGGCACTTCTGTTGGATGCAGCCGTCTACCCTTGAACTCCTTGTATCCTTAAATTCAGTCTACTAAGAATTTAATAAACAAGTTAGTCACATCCTGCCAATGTTCAGTCCTGAGCCAGTCTCAACATTTTCCTTCTCCACTTTTAATCTGGGCCTGTTCAATACTATTGCAGGAAATCACACCTCTCTCTCTTTCTGTGTGTGTCTCTCTCTCTTTCTGTGTGTGTCTCTGTCTGTCTGTCTGTCTGTCTGTCTGTCTCTCTCTCTCTCTCTCTCTCTCCCTTTCCATCTTGGGATGGTTCTCTCTTCCTTAAGCAGGACTGCACCCCCTCAGCATCCTGCTTCTGGGGACTCCACATATTGATACCAGATTTAATAAGAATACACTCAGCTTTAGCCTTAATGCTGTTCAAAACTCCTTCGGCATCCTAGTAAGAGGATATAGGGCTGCACCACCATGCCCATCCCAAGATTTTATGACTGTTACATCTAATAATGGCCAATGCTCAGTCCTCACTCTTCACTGTTGACTACACTCTGAATACTCTGTCTTCTCTCAGAGTCTTCAGCACTGCTCTCCCCTGGCTCTCCTCCTTCCTATCTGACTGTTCCTTCTCAGTCTCCTTTGCTGGAACATTATCTATGGCCCAATCCCTTAGACTCCATCCTGGGCCCCTTTCTCTTCCAGTTTGACACCCTCTCCCTTGGTGACATTTCCTGTGTCAGGTCGGATCTTTCTACACTAGGCTAACATATCTACAGATCCAGTTCCTTCTCCCTCTACCCACCTACCTCTTTTATCCAGCAACTACACATGGTCTGCTGCTGCCCAGGCCCCTCAATTCCAGGAATATTTAAAATTATTGAATAAGGTTAGGGTTAGGCCCACATGGTCAGCATCCTGCTAGGAGGGTATCTTTTCCTGGAATAAGCATCAGAATATCAAGTTCAACATGTCCAAACAAAAATATTTTCCACTGTGAATGAATGAATGAATGAAAAAAATGCTTATTAAGAGCTTACTATGTGCCAAATAATGCATCATGTGTTGGGTACAGAAATATGAAAACTGAAGATAGCTCTTGCTCTTTAGGAGCTCACACCCTAATGTGGGAAGATAAGATCTAAAGAAAGTTCAGCAGTCTAACAATTAAGTGCTAAGGGTGCAGAGGAAAGCCCAAAGTAGTTTAGGTTTTATTGCTAAGTCACATAACAGTGCAATGGGTCTGCAGACCATCAGAAAGACCAGTTAGTAAGGTAGTGAGGAACTTGGGAAGCAGTTACAGAGCACCCAGGGGTTTCCTCCATCTCAGCAAAAGGAACAGCATTGGTAACTCCCATCTGATCTAAGCAATCAGTAGCCTGGATGGGTACTAGGTATCCCAAGGTCCTATAAGGAATAGACTAGGGGGACATACAGGAGGAAACTGGGCTAGATGGGAGCTGGGACAATCGAAGTATCTCCTTTCTCCCACAGCTGCTGTTGCTCCTAGCCTGCAAAGTTGCTTTAGTGACATTCCTGAATTTCTAGCATATGTTCCCTTCTGGCAGCTCACATAGCCCCCACTCTGGCCCATGCCCTCATCGCCTGTCTCTGGATGGTGATAGACTCCTAGTTGTCTCCCTGACTCATCCCTCACCATGGCAATCCATCCTCCATCTAGTCACCCGCATGATTTTCCTAAAGCACAAGCCTATCATTCCCCTACTTTGTAAACATTCAATGGCTCCCTATTGCCTCTAGTATGAAATACAATCTGTCTCTGGCATTTAAATCCCCAGCTGACATTTCCAGCCTTCTTTACCATTCCCCCCAACCATACATCCCAGGGGTGGGGAACTGTGGCCTCAAGGCCACATGTGGCCCTCTAGGTCCTCCAATGTGGCCCTTTGACTGAATCCAAACCTCATAGAACAAATGTTCTGCGAAGTTCTCCACCCCTGGTCTAGCCATACTTGCCTTTTTTGCTGATCTTCATACATGTTACCCCATGTCCCACCTTGTGCCTTTGCACCAGCTGTCAGACACATGTGGAATTCTCTTTCCTTCCTCCCATCCACCTCTTAGAATCCCTAGTTCCCTTCAAACCTTAGCTCAAGCTCCACCTTCTGCAGGTGGTTAATGCCTTCCCTTTCTAAGTTTCCTTGTATCTTGTAGGTATGAGTTTGGTATGTACATATATATGTGCATGTACAATGGAAGCTCTGTGAAGGCAAGAATGGTCTTTCTATCTAGAGGACTGAGTACATAGCAGCAGCTTGATAAATGCTTAACTGATTTAGCGTAGAGACTATTTCTTATCTGAACTCCATATTGCCCTCAGAATCTGACCTGGAGCTCTAGATGCAGTAGGTGTGTGAAAACAGCAAATGGATGGATGGATGGATGGATGGATGGATGGATGGATGGATGGATG